AGGCCAAACAAAAAATGGGGTACCCCCCCCCCCCCCCCCCTTTACGCCTCCCCCTACGCCCCCCCCCCTCGGTGTTTGCCATCGGGATTGGGTTTTCGTCACTTGGCAACGACGCTGTAAAACTAGCACCCCCCTCGGTGTTTGCCATCGGGATTGGGTTTTCGTCGCTTGGCAACGACGTTGTAAAACAAACCAATTCACTTCGTGAACTCGGCAACCAGGTTACCGTTTGGTTATTTTTTACCTCTGTTTTTTTTTGGCGGTAACCATAATGGTGGTCGAGTAGATCATGTTGTGCGGGGTGGAGAAACCTCACTCCACGCAACGGGGGATGATCCAACCACGTTGTGTTAAAATGGTCAAGCATCCTCGAGGCAGTTACACAGTGCTTACAACTGTCTCTGGAAGTGAACGCACCAGGAAATAAATTAGGTCATACGCAGCTGTCATCGTTCGACGGTGCTGTACGCGGGGAGGAGATGAACTTTCCCGTGAAAACTTCGAGGGTTGATCACGCCGGGGGGAACACAATAATAGTGAGGCTTGTTTCGAGTCACTTTGGGGACCCCTTGGCAGAGGGCTCAACCCTGTAGGCACCCTGTAGGGGGGCTGTAGAGGGTGGCTACTGTAGTGGTCACAAGGTGTGGGAGAGGACCCTGATAAGGTGCTCTTTTCCTTGGGGGGGTCGAAGGTCATGACCTTGTGCAGGCCGATACCCTGATCAGTGTTGTCGGACATGCCCTGCCAGGGTCATGGTGTAAACAAGGTGGAAATGTGGGCCCCGGCAAGGTGTCAGACCTTGCAGGGGTTACCCCATACGAACATGCCCTGTGTGGTGTATAGGGTGGGGTCTTGTCAGGTGAAGACTGCCCACAAAGTGTATGTTGGGACCCTGGGAGGATAGCAGGCCTTGCAAGGGGCCAAGAGGTAGCAGGTTAGCTTAGCGTGACCCGTTTGCTTCAAGGAGAGAGTGTGGTGCTTGTTGGCATTACATGCCTAACTCATCAGGGACTGGTGCAGGAAGGAGAGCGAGCAAGACGACCAAAGCGACATCTCCAGCGACAACGATTCGTCGGTATTGCCTTCAGTTAACGTCGTTTCCAAACACGGTAAAATACAATACTTAGGGTTGGGCGCGTCAGCTCTGACGCGTTGTGATCTGGTAAGTATAAGTACTTGTGGCAAAAAATCACCCGAAAACAAATCCCCTAGGGGCTGTCACAAAAAAAGGCTGATAATGTTTACTTTACCCCGGGAGTACATATAATAGGGCGGGACAACTTTGTTTTTGAAAAAACAATCACCCCGGGGGATACCACAAAAAGTTGACAGTTTTTCGCCGAAATTGGGAAGGACATTATTTGTTGGGGGAGGGGGGGATATGGGTACCACCGTCGATCTGTACTCCGAAGTATCTATGCATACAATATACAAGTAGCCAACAGACCAGAATGTAGAGTACAAGAGCTCGATGTCAGGGCAAGGTTGGGCGATGAACGTTTTGAGGTTCAGTAGTCCACATTGCGATACATCGAGCGTGAGAACCGAAAACATTATAGAACTCCCCCACCTTCCGACACTGCAGGTGGATGAACGCATGTCTTGGAAAACGCTGTGACGGTACCCTCCAGTTTGTGTCGCGAGGCATCAAGGGCGCAGATGCAGTGTGGAAGCTTTAGATTTTTGCAGTAAAGCATGACGGCCCGTTGTGGCTACATCCCGCCTCGGACAACCACCACCTGCTGGTGACCGAAACACAGACAAAATGCCTTCTGGACTGCGCAATGTCTAATGTTAAATAGTCACTTGGTTGTTTGTGACAATTTGTGGTGGTGGAAAACGCGATGTGGACACAAATGCCATACCCCAAAAGTAAAGAGTTCACGAACCTTGATCTCCTTCTTCCCACGAACCATCCAGAGCTTGCGCCGAAGCTGTGGCGATGCACCCCTTTTCAAGCTCACGCAAAACCTACCAGTGCAGAAACACCCCCCCCCTCGTATGACGCCCCCGACGAAGCCACCGTGGCACCGGTATCTCTTGTTTCCTTCTTTGCTGTGCTCAAGTGGTCCCCATGCCCAGCCCACAGACAAGCCCATCAGGTACGGTTGGATCCTCTGCCACATCCTCGACCGTTATGAACGGGCGCATACATGTAGAGATACTCCGAAATAAGTAGTATTATTGTTTTTCTTTGCCTGTCGGGTGCGACGTATGAAGAAAAATGCGCAAGGGCGTGCGGCGGGATAGGTAGGTGTGGTTGTGGTGCTTCTTGTCCCATTATCATGATGCATATCGACATGCACAGCAGGGGTGCGCAGTTCTGGCGAAGCGGCGCAATTATTGTGGGCGACCGGGACATGTACATACCCCTTCATCAAATTCCGATCAGTTGAGCCCCGGCCCGTTGGCATCCGCTGCAGCTGCATCTTGGGTGCGACATCCAACAGCCAGCCACAGCCACACCACTACCATGCAACACACACGCACGACCAACAATGCAAAGCCCATGGAGATGCGATGGTCAAGCGGCCAAGCCCAGGGGCTCCTTCAGCTTGGGCTACGAACATGGGCGCGCCAGCTTGCGCTATTATAGCGTCCTTGTCTCGATCCACGGAGAACTGGGCGGCACGACGATCTCCTCCTTCAACTCGAGATTGCACATGTAGTGGCGAGCACCGGGAGAGCGCTCTCAAGACGCGAGGCTTCCGAAGATGGTAAGTGCTGTAGGGTTTGTCGAGATCCCGACATCGAGGCAACGCTGCTTGGCATTATTTCGTGTGCAGCACAGCAGCAGCGGTGCAGATAAAGTGAAAGTTCTCCCTACAGCTTGTACAATTACCAAAGCTGGTGCTGGTCGCGAGCACACCTACGACACACATACAGCTGCAGCACCTACCGAGGCAGGGAAGCAAGTGTGCTATATCAGTACTGCATTGGTGTTACTAGCGTTGTGTGACTCCATCGCACCTTGCATCGTCCGTAGCACCTATCTGCCGCTCTCCCGACGAAAACAGCACCAGCAGTAGAAAAAAACCAAACGGCCACCCCGACGAGTCTGTGCTGTATACTGGAGTATACCACACCAACAATTCTCCGGGACCCCCTCTTTCGCTGTTCGATTTTTATTGTTTGCATGAGTCGACCCCATGCCCTGACACTCATTGCGTAAACCTCGACCTGTAGTGCAACGCGCGAGATGCCTCGAGACAGCAGTCATTTTCTGTCTCCACTATTTTAATAGCTGTGATATGCCGTGACGTTGGATCAAGCTGTGCCACGAACTGAATGAGTCATTTTAATAGCCCTCTCTGCGTACTCTCGGGAGGCAACCTGCCCTTAGCTGTCAGGCCCCCCTAAATTTCCCGAATTGCCTGGCCATCACCCTTGTGATAAAAGAGAGCGCAATAGAGTTGAAAACCACATGACAATTGTCTTATCGGCACTACTACATGCATGAATGAATTTATGCATGTTCAATTGATGGTCATGTGGTCGGCCAAGGGTCGGCCTCCAAAAAACGTCACAACCCACTCGTTCCAGATATGCACAATATCTCCAAACAACTCCGAAACCGATAACATATCGACCTCCAACACGTTAAAAAAACACGGCTACC